CATTACAGGCGTTATTTTAAAACGAATAACGGTCATAATTTCCGATGACTTTATAAAAGTCGACTCAAAGATTATGGAAATACTCACGATGTACACAACAGTTAGATATAATCAAAATTGTTTGTAAATATCTTATCTTTTTTCAAAAGCTGATCTTGTTTTTTTAGAGATTTCTACAAATGTTTTGCACTCCTAGCTATCTCTATAATAACGATTATAAATGAAGAAGAAAAAATTATTTCTATTTCTTCTACTTGGTTGTGTTCTATGGCTTTCTTATGTTTCCATTGTTTGCAAATCGGCTCTTTCAATGATTGCTCAATAAATGTAGCACAGTGTTAATTCAGTTTTAATTTTAGTAGGCCTATATCAAACTGTCCAGGATTTCTCGCTTTTTCCCATTGTAATAATTACACCAACCCAAGTATCGTCTACAGATGCAATACGCCAAAGAATATCATCTACGTGCAACACGCCTACATACAATCTCCAAGAAGTGGTAAAAAAGGCAGAAACCAACCCATACAATAGAAATAAGTTAAATCCATAAGAAATAATTTATAGAGTTGCTGTGATAGGACATTCCACTGATTTGGCAATAGAACATTATATTGCAAAACATGACACGATGCAGAAGAAAATCGATTTTAAAATCAGAAAAAAAACCTTTGCAAATACTTCAAATTCATTAAATCACAATTTAAATATTAACAGTTGTTTCATTAAAAAGTAGTGTAAAATTATACATATGGCCATAATGTAAACAAATCTGTTGAGGGGACTTTAAAGGCCTCTGGGGCAGAGCCCCAAGGGAATTTACCTCGTTTCTCTTTTGATGGCTCATCTACAGACCAAGACCATTCTTTAGAGACCCCTACCAAGTTTCTACGCCCAGCCGTTCTCTGAAATTAGCTGCGACAAAAACCCGTTTTCCCCCCATAAGAATAACATGGGATGGGAATTTAAAGGCCACTGGGGCAGAGCCCCAAGGGAATTTACCACGTTTCTCTTTTGATGGCTCATCTACAGGCCAAACCCTTTCTTTAGACACCTTTACCGAGTTTCTACGCCCAGCCGTTCTCTCAAATTAGCTGTCACAAAAAAAAACAGTTTCAAATTTATATATAGACTAGCTGTACCCACGGGCTTTGCCCCGTTTAACTTCTTAATTTTCAAGATGAGCTCGTTCGCATGGCTCAATCACGTCCTGGTTGAAGTTCGTTCGCTACGCTCACTCACCTTTAGGTTGGAGCTCGTTCGCTGCGCTCACTTGCCTTCAGGTTAGCTTGTTCGCTACGCTAACTCGCCTCCAGGTTGAAGTTCGTTCGCTACGCTCACTCACATTTTGGTTGCAAATTAGCTGTTGTCATGGATAAAAAAAAATAATAGTGCTGCACCCTGTTGGTAATCCTTGTAACTTTAATGCTATTGAACATCATAGAACAGAACCAACTTGTTTAATTGAAACAGCTGATAAGATTCATAAATTCCTTTTAAATATGAAAAACCATAAGGTTAACATGGGAAACTCCAGAGCCACTGGGGCGGAGCCCGAGGGTCCGATCAGAATAAAAACAACTTAGTTTTCCTATTTAATACCTAAAGAATCGGTGTACCAAATTTCAGCCTCCTAGGTAAATGGGAAGTGGGAGAATTAGTGATGAGTGAGTGAGTGAGTGTGTCAGTGAGGGCTTTGCCTTTTATAAGTATAGATTACAGATTTCTTACTCACTAAGATCAGCTGTTACTTTAACCAGCTGATTTATTAAAAGCCTAATGATCGCGGACAGCTGGTTCCAGCATTGAACAAACAGAAAGCTTTTGCCTCTGTCAGGATCTTACTAGCAATCTTATTACTAGGTGAGCGAATTCATTGTGCTTCCCAGCAATAAAAATAGGAAACCAACGTAAAAATAGGTACAGTAAAATCAACAAATAACTCTTATTGTCAAAATGTCAAAGCAAATTACAGATATAACAAACACGTTTTCAATTAACGGCTAATTTCCACCAGCAAAACTCATCTTTCAAACGCACGTAATTTATACGTAGTTCAAACTCGAAAAGGTTAAAACCATTGAAACTGTGTTTTTAACACTGTAAGCTGGTAGACCATTACCTTATAAACATTACTAGGTTATTCAGTGCTATTGTACTACATTGCTGCAACCTCGTTCGGCTACACGTTCAGGCTTTTAGTCTGAATTAATTTAATGGATCAACAAAGTATAAATAGACCAGCAGACAATAGTGTCAGAGGCTTTGTCCATGGATTATAGCAGGAGTGTCAGAAAGGTTCAGTGACACATTTCTGTTATATCCCTATTACATCAGGCTGAAGTTGAATTGCTCGATATATTCATTTAACAATTTTATTCGCCAAGAAAAAAATACGTAAGAAAAATATGTTATTGAAATACTGTAAATAATAACAAATTATGATTTGCGACTATTAGTAGCTTTGACTGTGTTTCGCAACGGGACAAGAACGCAACAGAGAAATATTTCTTTCCTTAAACCTATTACAATACTCTACCATTTTTATAGGAACACAATTTTTTATCATTTGATTTGAAAAAAAAGTTGTTTGCCAAAGCCGAATCTAATCACACGCTGAGCATTTTTATCTTGCAAACAAAAGGGTTTAATGAGCTATTTGAAATAAAATATATGAGTGTTTATTTTTTCCGACACCACTTATAGACGGTTTAGTTATAGAAAAAAACACAGACGTACATTAAATTGATATATTATATAGATTTCGAAAATGTGTACACACACTTTTCCTTAGAATATATTTTAATGAGTTCTTAATTCTACGTATAGAACTCAAAATATTATGTCAAAACTCACAATTATGATCGATTAAATTAAACAAGTCTTATGAAAATAAACAAATAAAGTTGTTAGTGAACTATGTATGACATCTTTAGCTTTGCGTTGTTTATTTCATACAGTCCACCATCGCTATTGTTGGGTAATGGTATCAGTCGGGGATACATTGCACAAATACAGGAACTGCCTCCTAGATATCATGATTGCAGAAGCTATCTGCTCCATTACAGCGGAAAATCAGATTGATATGGCAATGGATTGCATTACAGTACTACAGTATGATGTTTCCAACCTGTTTCAATCAATGATTGCGTCTAGTTATCAGAGTGGTTTCAGTATACAAGTATATACTTCTTCTCATACACTTACACAGTTTTACGAAAAATACTAAGATATAAAAGAAATATTCATGGTACATACCTTACCATGACGTTGCTCCCCTTAAAATCGGAAGAAATTCGCCTGAAAGTAAAGTTCCTATTAATTTCACTGGTGATTTTGTAAGACCTGTTTTTAAAAGGTGTTTGTATCATTCAATAAATTATTTAAACTTATTGAAACGTTAATGTATAAAATTCTTTTCAAGCTTCTATATATAAATATTTAACAGAATAAAATAACTGTTAAACTTTAAACCTTTTTAGCGACTTTAACACCAAAGTTACTGTAGGTAACATACTTCTTTAATTCTAAAACACGTTCTATCTGAGTTTTACTATTGCATATTTTATAATAAAGGCAACTCGCTTTGTGTGCGCTTACACAGTAATTCGCAGTTAATGTTCGATATTACAATGTATAATGATGTTCGATAATTTACAGTTATTTACATGTATAATCCTTAACAAATGATATTTTGGTGATGAACTAATGTCAAACTACTATTGAAACTATAATAAATAAAGGGTATTGACATATACTTTCTCACATTAGCTTGTCAAAAACCTTTATAGTAATCATGTTATTTTATGGTGAAAATCGCAAAAGTTGCAATTGCTTTTTAACTAATTTCTAAACCATTGTGGAGTGCACCATTTTATTTTGAGTAAAGAGGACAAAAAAAATGTATTTAAAATCGTTCGACCCATTTTTTGTGAAACACGATATCCGTTATTTTATGGGATTTTATAGAAAATCACAATAAAAAATAAAAAGTTCAAAAAAATTGAAAAACTCCTGAAGAACTGGATAAGTACCCACACACCAAATTGCAGCAGAGTTGGGTCACATGCTCTGTAGCTCTGTATGCATACACACATACAGACACAGACATAGACACCACTTGGGGGGGGGCATAAATTCAATTTCCACCTAAAACTCAAACTGGGAAATCCAACGAAAACAATACTTTCCCCGTAAACTATGTATGGGAGTAAGTAAACCCCTAAATAGTCACATGCAGCGATTTCTTGTTAAATATTCTACTACCGCTATCTAAGTCGATGGTAATACTTGAGCAAACCTGCAAAAATTGTGGCAAATTAAGGTGGCAGATCTTATGTTAAGATAACATAGGAGTTGTCCATAACACAGTTTTAACTCCACGGTTTGAGCTAGTGAACCGATACTATAACATTTAAGTGGTACTTCTGAGATCGACGACATGAGCACGTTCTCGAGAGAGTGGCTGGTAGCCTACTTATCTGTATTTGAGTTCTCGTAGAAAATATTGTGATAAAACAACATTGAGAGTGAGACACAATTGTCTGGCAGAGTATGTTTTAACTATACCAGAAACAAAACAATTACAAGTTCATATTATATTAGACTAGCAGTTACACCAGTGCTTCGCAACGGGAAATGGCTGCGGAAGATAATAATGTGGATAAAAAATATTATTTAACTAGTTAGCTTAAGTTGTTCAAACATGTCAAGTTTCATTGTAACTGCCAATGACGTTTGAAATAGATACAAAGACGGGGAAGGCCCGACAATAAACATCACTGTCACACGATAATGATTATAAGGATCGAGGCTAAAAGTCACCAAGTACCTGAGTTTTGAGACAAACAAAATTGCACCCTTTCAATTTCATCACAAAGTCTTTCTGAGAAGAATTTACAACGATTACTACAAGGTACAAAAAACTCCAGAACCTGTCAATTTTTCACTCCGCGGTTCAATTGTTTGACATTTGAACTAATTATTTGGTGTGTTTGTTTCAGAGGCAAGATTGATCCGAGAGTATGACGTCGAAGACTCCCTCGAAGATGATTTCTCCCGCAACAGGCGTTCCGAAGAAGAGATAGCGACCCCCTGGCTAGGCCTGGGTAAGCGAGAGGCGCGCTTCACTCCTTATGTAAGCGTAGGTGCGTACCTGTAACTCAACGCACCTCGCACTACCTCTCATATTATCCTTCCTGATACATGCACTTCCTACCAAACTATCCTTCTCCTGTACAATCGCTTCATTTAAGACTATCCTCGAATGAGACAGGTACTTCCTATTAGATTGTCCTCCCCTGATACAGTCACTTCCTGTTAGACTACACATGTCTAAAACAATCACTTCCTCTCAGACCATCCTCCCCTGATCCAGTCACTTCCGTTTGAAACTATATTCCCCTGATACACTCGCCTCCACTCAAACTATCGTTCAGCTCCTCTCAGACCATCCTCCCCTGATGCAGTCACTTCCTGTAAGACTATATTCCCCTGATACACTCACCTCCACTCAAACTATCGTTCAGCTCCTCTCAGACCATCCTCCCCTGATGCAGTCACTTCCTGTAAGACTATATTCCCCTGATACACTCACCTCCACTCCAACTATCCTTCCCTGATACACTCTCACCTCCACTCAGACTACCCTTCCCTGATACAGTCAGCTCCTCTCAGACCACCCCCTCCCCTGATGCAGTCACTTCCTGTAAGACTATATTACCCTGATACACTCAGCGCCACTTAAACTATCCTTCCCTGATACAACTTCTCTAGACAATCACCCCTGATTTAATTACCTCCTCTCGAACTCTCCTCTCCATATACAATCACCTACTCTCAGACCAACCTCTCCTGACCATCCCTCCCTGGTACAACCACCTCATACTGTCCCTTCCAGATACAATCATCTCCTCGCAGACTATCTTCCTCTTATACAGTTACATTTCAGACTATAAACCCCCAACGCAGTTACCAATGGCTAGGCCTGGGTGAGCGAGGCGTGCTTCACAAAAACGCAAACATATAATGCAAAATGCCGGTCCTAACAAGATAGAACGTGGATGGAAAATAATTAAAGAATCTGTATTATATTTTCATTTTTCAGCAACAAAAACCAACAATGTGAGGTTATTTTAGGCGAAGCGACAATACACAAGTTTCAATTTTGTAAATTTTACACTTTGATTGTAAATTTTACATTTTTGGTTGCCAATTTTAATCTTACCCCTACATCACTAATGACCTCAAACGCACTAAGCCCTCCCTCGTATTTCGGGTTGCATTTTTACAAATTGTGCATGCCTTAATATTATACCTACTTCACATTCCTAATGGTTTTTCCCTCGATTTCATCTAGTGAATGTTATACCCCCTCTAAGGATGGATTAGTCAAGTTGTCTAAGGGTGGATTCCTAAGAATTTCTTAGAAGGTATAACTATCATTAGGCGAAATCAGGGTAAATTAACCTCGTGTTAAGTGATTTGAGACTACACCAAAATACAAATTAAACTTTTCCCACCAATACTTTCTCGCAAATTATTTTTTATGATGTTTAACACAACTGTTTTCTGTCTTTCTTATCAATACATTTTATCAACGTGTTGTCCATAATTTCTCGTACGTTATTTCAGTATTGTCACTAAGTTGTAAATGCATGTTTTCTTATTCATAAAAAAAATAAAAATCACACACTAGTACAGTTTATTTGCACGTTTACTTTTTATTTCATACTTTTAAGGATGGTTTTTTAATGCAAACAACATATTTCAGTCAATTTGGTAAAAATAACACCTGTGTAATATATTTCTTGGCACTTAATTAAGTTGGTGTGAATAGTTTTTATGAAGCGTGACACTCAAAATACATTGAAACTTAGTTTAGAAGCCCATTATGCTACTCCTGAAACAAGCGTCTTTATTTTACTTTGCAGAAAAAACAGCGCTTGGGGACAAATTGTCTTGTTATACTTTTACTTACAAAGTCTTATTTGTTGTTTAAAGTTATGTCACACAAAACAAAGAATTCGGTTTCACCAAGCCTTAAAGGGCTTTACCAGAACTAGCCATACATTATCCCTTTTATTCATCTGTTTATTTTATAATTACAATAGTTTTCAGTGATATACATGTTCGTAAATCGTGTGAATAAGTGCTAGTATTAGATGATTCATAATCATTATTTACTGTAACATCGACAATGGTTCACTAAATCTTTCAGACTCATAAAATTGTATATTACAGCTTGAATTATAACACGTATATCAAAATGCAATACCCACCTATATTTATGAGAATATTTTCAAAAATCTTTTCAAAATCAAAAAAAGTTTTGTTTACACCCCTTCGAGTCATTAACTCATAAATCATAAATTAACTAATAACAGCTAACTGATAAAAACTCGTGCCGATGAAAAATGATTCATAGTGCACTTTTACCTACGGCCGTTTTTGAGCTGTTTAAAATTAAGTTCTTAGAATCGAACTACAATGTTTTACTTTAACAACACAAGTAATGGACCCATGGTTTGAGGATTGAGAGAAAAGAAGTAAAATTGTAATGTTTCAAACACCACTAATCAAATAAAATAAAATCATTTATTTAGCCAGAATTTTAACAAAGCAAGTTGCATTAGCTAAGTCATATTACTAATCAGCTGTTTACCAATTTAATTGTTGATGATTGGTGCAATAGTTAGTAATTGGTCCAATGAGTCGTTGCATCACTGTCAGATGTTATAAACGAAAACATAACCTATATTATAATTTTATAAGTTTTGAATAGTGATTGTTAGTAATAAAAAAAAACTGTCGTAGGTAAAGTAGTGTTCGCAACTTGCGTAAATAGTCTTAACGACACTCGTACAGTAGAAGTTTTTAAAGCCCTCGCTAAGGCTGCTACCTTAAATTTCTTCTATTTTCATTAACACTTTTATTCACGCTAACGTTGCGTAAACTACTATTCATCTCAATTATCAATTATTTAAGATGGGGACGCAACTATGTGCGTATTTTAATATGAGGATGAGTGTAGGATGAGTGGCGCGATCTTGTAGTCTTGTTAGTGACTAAGTCCGACATGTTCCTTAGACACAGCTGTTAATTAATATCTCGGTCAATCTTTTGTGTTTTAAAGTCTAACTAATAAAACAGTTAAAAACGATTTTCTGGTAGTATTGACTATTGGGCTACGAATCTAGACTTAACTGGATACATGTTTATACAATAAATTATCGCTGTCTTTAATTTCAACTTTTAACCATCTGTTAACAGGAACCTTATATTTTCAATTACCTTATATCAGAGAGGTTCTGCGAATTTCCGATACAGTTTACGTTTGATATAAGTCGTAGAGATATTAAACAAAGATATTACGTTACCGGTAGCCGTAAGATACTTTCCAATAAAGCTTATGTAATATAATAAAGAAACTCGAGATCTGAAACCTATACAAACTGACCAGAGGAGTTACATATTTAATTGGACATTTGAAACAAGATATTCGATCTAAAGGTACGGGAATAACTGGAAATATACTTGATAGATACCTCGAGGTATGGCGCGGTATGGATTCATTTAATTCTAGGTATCATTTTTTACGTTAGCAAATAATAGCTTGCTTGTATAACTTTATAAATGTTTCAAAATTCATTTTCCGTCTCGCCCAAATGTAATATCTTACCATTGAGTTTTAGCTATGACAATTAATAGTGCTAGACATTCCATACCCATGTTATTCTTGTTTCCAGTTTTAAAATCAAAATCTCGTAGTTGAAGTGAACCACCGACAGATTGTGCTGATGTAAATTACTGATTTGTGTCGAATATTCAGACTTTATTAAAAAATCTCAGTAACAAAAACTGAGGTTGAAAATGGAATTTTAGACACTGGCGCTATCTATGACTTGCTTACAGAACTAAGTTGTTTTTTAATGAAAAAACTAGCTGGTCTATATGGTACTGAAATAGACATCCAAATAATATGTACCAGCTATCACACATTTTTTTCATATTTAAAAATAACATAATTGAATCTGCTAGGCTTAGAATGCGTTAACAAATATTTTCTACATAATTTTTGTTACTAAGATACTTGAAATGACACAAAAGATGCTACAGCTTGACCTTTCAGTTTGACTTGGTAAAAGAGTCCGCATATTTGACAGAAACACTTTTCTTCACCACAATCTGTCGGTGGCTAATTTAACTAAGTACATTTTGATTTAAAAATTGACAAGTGTGTTAAAAATAATCAAACATACTGCCAGGCTCTTTAGCATGGATATTTTCCTCTAAACTAGATTTAACTACATCCGTAACAAGGAATAATGGTTTTCTTTCAATAATCCATCCGTATTTTCATAATTATAAAAAGTATATTACCCTACATTTTTACGTTTTCAATACGTCCGATTTTGGTATTTTGAGACTTAAGACGTGTGGGAAGCGAAAGATCAAAAGTGTATCGAAGGTAGAAAGAAGATCGGGAAAGTGGACGACAAGAAAAGTTGTTAAGTATGTTGTGTTATGGTTATTATTTGTAAACCACTTACGTGGCAGAGGGCAAGTAAACATTAAGTCGTCGTCTCCCCTTTTCATCCCAAAAGATGGTTTGGTGGAAGCCGCTTTAGTGAAGCTACCAACCAAAGACCAAATACGAAATTCATTATGACAAAATCGTTTTAATCAATAGATTAAGCAAACGAAAAATTAATTTTCCTGTTGCACAGTACTTACGACAAATTTATGCGCCATATGTCCTAAAGTTAACTAGTAATAATATAAAAGAATACATGTGTTGTAATATTTTAATTACCAATGTAAATGAAGAGCGAATTATGGATATTTTTAGGATATTTCATTCTTATTTTTATCCTCCGATCTAAGTGGCACATTCAATCATCACTTAAGTGTCAACTAGTTGTGTTTTGCATCAAATTTAAACACATTTTAAAATTTAATTGTATCTTTGAAGTTCTAATTCATCTAATCTACTTGGAGTGTGTTTGTTTGTTTGAAGTTCAATCACACATTAACTACTGGACGGATTGGGCTGAAATTTGGCTTAATGATAGCTTACATTCGCGATTAACATAATAGACATATTCTTATCTCAAAAATCCTTTCGGGCTCCGCCCCAGTGGCTCTGTAATTCCCCATGTTAACCTTATGAGTATTCATATTTAAAGGGAATAAAAGAATTTAGTCAGCTGTTTCAAATAAAAAGTTTTGTTCTATGGTGTGCAAAAGCATTAAAAAGTTATAAGATTTACCAACAGGGTGCAGCACTATTTTTTTGCTTTTATGAAAACAGCTAATATAATTTGAACTAAGCAGAAAAAAAACTGTGATACGCAAAGAGAACTGTCAAAGAAGGCTTACTTTTATGTTTTTAATTTCATAAATAATTGGTGATATTTTGAGAGTTTTTAATAATTTATTTTTAGTGGTAGAACATTATGGCTATGTTAGATGTGTAATACTATAGTATACCTTAAATTTAGAGAAGCAAATGTTATCAAACTCTGTCCTTCCCCATTGCAATCAGAAAGCTTATGAGCATAACTGCAATAAAAATTTTATACTTATATGCCAACCCCGTACGAAGGACGGGTACTCTGCTAGTGTGTTTATTTAACGAGGTAAAAACACATACAATCTTGTATACATAACATTCAAAATCAGAAACATCTTAATTTTTTACAAAATAACCTTTTAGCGCTAAAATGCTCTAAAATAATTGTATATAGTCTTACCCTGATTGAGCGACCCAAATGAAGCACAACTGGGGTGTAAACAAGCAAATCCGTGATTAAAACCTTGTCCGCTAAGAGTAAAACAATTTAAACTGAATCCGGACGTAATTACAAAGCTTTCGAACCTACATGTCGTGTATTCGTTTCCGGTCTCCCGGACAAGTAGAATAGTTGTTGAATGTTAATTCAACTTAACCGTTGTGGTTTAAATGTATTTTTATTCTTTTCTGTAGCACATCTTTGAAAATAATTATAAGTGAAATGTGACGTTAATTGTCAAGATTGTTGTCAAAAACAAAAGGTACAACCTTATTGAACTTGTACAAAATGTAAAATTAGTATATTTTCCCCCCTGATTTCTTTTTATTCTATCCCATCTCCATGCAAAAACTGTATGAAGAACGCAATTCCTTAACATACTCTTTACAGAAAGTAATTTACTAAATTGATTCCAACATTCGTTTTTGTCACTTCAATTTGTATCGCAGCATGTAAGAGGCTGGTGTACGAAAGGTCAATAAAATTAGAATAATCAAGTAAGATCTATTTACTGAACATTTTAGAACGTGGTACGCGAAGTGTTAAATGTATATTAAATATTGATTAATAACGTTCAATAGACAATAGGCAATCGTTTATTCGTCGTTTATTAATAAAAAAAATATTTCGTCAATGATATATGTGGCCTATACTTAAAAACATTAAGGGGTTTCTCGGTTACATCCCTTTTCCAGCCGTTCTACTTAATTGTTTTTTATAATTTATGTGCCATTTTTAAGTTTAACATCTACTGAAGTTTTTTTTCTTTTAGATCTTCACCCCCCTTGCGTGATACTCTTGGGTCCACTTTCAAAAATCCAGTCATGCTGACCAACTTTGCGGTTTAAATATGTATTGTAATTTTTACATCCGATTTTCCAGTTGAATGTTAAACCACAGTCAGATTGCGGTTTAATAATCTAACATCGAAATCCTTAAACGCTTTCAGGCTAGGACCATAGACTGGCCAACAAAAGTATACTTCTCATCCCATTGTAAAATTCGAAGCTCGTTTTTGTGTCTTGTGTTGATGACACTGATCGCTAGTGTCGACAAAATTAAAAAATATATATTTGTTATATATGTATAAAGAATTAGAAGGACTAAAATATCGCAGGTCTGTCGACAGGGGTGCTGAGCGACATGCAGCAGTTCTTCGACAATCTCAGAACCAACCTGGACAGTCTGGAGAGTCTTCCTCCAGAACAAAGAGACGCTCTTCTGGGCAACTCGCCTCAACCAGGTAAAAACATTTAAATAGTAAATATACAAATTATTAAATCTTTATTTCTGTCTAGTTTAATCCGATCATCAACACACGTGCAGTTGTTTTAAGAGGTTTCAGGCATTTTTTAACTATGAAGTATTACGTATACTAAAACTCAGACATATAGAACCAGACAGTTCCTTCCTAAAAAGGCTAAGTACATTGTTGAGTCGGTGGCTCAGTGGGTAGCACCGCGAACTTCGGGTCCAAAGAATTTATATTACCCTGCAATGTAATTGGACGTAAGTCTGTATTGTAGCATTTAAATAAATAAATAAAAGTCGTGGGTTTGGTTCTTGGTAGGCCTAACCCTCACTACTTATTATCAGTGCACTTTGCCTGTACTGTACCGGCGCACTCCTTGTTTTGCTGGATACGTTCCATGCACTGGTCTCTGTGGCCCAAGTGGACGGAAAAATGTAAGGTTAAAGAAGCCACCAACTTCTTAGAATAAGTTGAAACATTATAAAAGAAAAAACTTAAATGCAGTATGTTTTTTTTACCGATGTAAATAGCAGATCCCTCCTTAAGCGGGACTTTTTAAAGCAAGCCAGACTGATTTTTGTTAACTGAGGCATCTACTGTGCCACATTTACATTTACATTAACACAGTTTCAAATACAAACCTGCCAACCTTCAGACTATGTGAATTTCCATTTGCCTGATTTAGTTTAATGAGTTATTAGGTTTGCTGCTACAAGGAGGATAATTATGTGTGTTTTTATGAAAATTATAGCCAAGTATGAAATAACATATTTGCCAAATTCGATAAAAATATATCTATACACGAGCTAACTACAGCAGTTTATTTATTCTCCATTACTTTTTTTACTTTTCAGTGCAAACAATAACCGTACAAAAACACTTCAAAATACTAATTTATTTGGGGTTTTTAGGTTCTACAAATTGGTTTGGATATAAACCGTTTTTGTTGTTATAGAAATGTACTTTAGAGCTCTATAGAGCTCCTAAAGGTGCCTATTTTAAAACGTCCTTTTAACGATTTTATAAAGTATAAATATAAGTATTGCCTTAATGCTGTCACTTACATCGATGAGCTTATTACGCTTTAAGAGAGTAAATCTTTCCTTTACTTTGGGGGTCACGAACCCATAATAATATTTTGACATTTAACGTAAAGAGGATTAAATACCGACTCTTTAACCCTTTTAGTAATACGAGTATAAATGGTTTTCGTAACGAACTCCTGCTGACCAAATAAATGGTAAAATCAATCTACCATGATTAGTAATGGAAGTGTCGAAAATAAAATAGTATCCATTGAACTAAACCTGTCCAATCCTGCACTTAGGCTAAGTGAATTTCCATAAAAATTAGTATATTAGTTCAATCTAAAGTCATTTAGTGTTTAATTTGGTTTAACGATACTGAAAAGCTAGAAAGATAAATAAGCTAGACTAGTAACTAAATAATTGTTTAATAAATGCTGGAAACTGAAAAGATTCATAACTGAAAAGAAAGACAGGACTAAAAACCCAATCATAATCTAAACTTAAATTAGTTAAAGTAACGTTGAAAATACCTTATTCGACAGTTTACTTCTGAAGTCCAGTGTAATCTATCCGACACGGTGGTTTTTCACTTTTGAGGCAAATCACAAGATCAAGGTAATTAGACACTGATCAACGTTCACTATTTTGCATTAAGATACTAATAATTAATCACATAACCACAAAAATGCAATCGTAATATAAACGCACACGTTGCTACGCGTCGCTCGCCAGCTAACAGCCACTGACATCAGTATTGTTGATCAGCTGATCTTCTTCTGACTCAACGCGAATAACAAAACATCGTCTTCCAAACGTCACTCGTTGAGATTTTCGTACCAATCCAAACTTAAATGTTTCGTATCACATGGTAAATTGTAGTCTGTATCCATCTTGCTATATCAGCTTAAAACAAACATTAAAATAATGTTTACCTACGACCGATTTTTAAAGTAGCCGTTTCAGTTCAGTTCTTAGAAAGTTTCTCATAACAGCATTGTTTACTTTAATAACAGCATAGTTTTACTCATAACAACACGGGTAAAGGTCCAATGAGGTTCAAGGATTGGGAGAGAAGAAGTAAAATTGTAATGATTCGAACTTCAACGAAACAGCTGTTCAGGTCAATTTAATTCTTGATTGATGCAATTAGTGTTTTATTCAATGATTCGTTGCATCACTGTCAGTGGCAATGAGAGGTTATAAACGGAAAAATATCCTCTCTTAGAAGTTATGAGTAGTGATTTTTAGTAATTAAAACACTGCAGGTTTTTAAGGCACTTGCCAAGGCTCGTACCTTAAATTTTCTACTCGTGAAGTTAACACTAACTTTACGCAATCGTAAAACCATGATGGACGCAATGAATCATAAAACTATATTTTGTAATTTTACAGGAATAGTTGTATGAAGCATCACTACACCCACTAAAATAAATAGCTTATCTACTCATAAAAGTCAGATTCTTGAACACCAAACGAAATTGAAATGTGTTTGAGAATGCAAACTAAATTAAAACTATTATTAAATCATTATCTAAACATTTAAAATCCGAATTCTGAGTAGATTTGGCGTGTGTTTTAGGTCGTTCGGGGCCCAAGAGAAGAAACCGCATAACAGGGATATCAAAATACTCAAGTAAATATAAATAACATTTTGTAGTAGTAAGTATGTCCAGATCATTAACCATCATCAGCATAATCGAATCATATAACCATTATTGTTAGTTCGGAAAATTATTACCGTAATGCAAACTAATCCTATACTCTAATACGAGCAAAGTTTGCTTGTATGTATGGATGTATGTATGTATGCTTGCACCAAGATCTCGAAAACGGCTCCGACGATTTTCTTCAAATGTTGTATATAGTTTATTTCTGGCCTAAAAACGAGTTTACTGCAGTTAGAACTGCCAACAAAAATCTAATTACGTAGAAAAATGAAACTGAAAATCACATTTTTTTAACATTAGTCTTATGGGTTGCTAGGTAACCATGTTGGCTGAATTAAATAACAAGGAAAAAGTAAACAAAAGACTTGTAATATGTCTATCCACAGTATACTAGCAAAACAAAATACAGTACAAAAGGAAAAACATCAGTTGTTACTATTGAGCAAAGATTATACTGAAGATTACTCGATTCTATAGTCAAGGGTAGCAGTGTGGAGTGTGGGATCTGTTTATGACGATTATATTACGGTATCTGCAATCCTTAAATGCTATGGAAAGGGAGGAAAACAGGTCCACGACATAGAAAGTGGTGAAGGAAGTAGTAAAGGCGAGCAGTCTGGAGTGTGGGAACTGTTTATGACGATTAAATTAAGGTATCTGCAATCCTAAAATGTAATGGGAAGGGAGGAAAACAGGTCCATGACGTAGGAAATGGGGAAGGAAGTTGTAAGGCTAGCAGTGCAGTGTGTGGGAACCGTCTGTGGCATTTATGTATCGGCAATTCTAAAATAGTATAAGGAAGGAGGGCAAACAGGTCTACGCCATAGGGAGTGGTGAAGGAAGTAGTAAGGGTGAGCAGTCTGGAGTGTGGGAATTGTTAATAACGATTAGATCAAGTTATCTACAATCCTAAAATTCTATGGGAAGGGAGGGAATCAGGTCCGTGACGTAGGAAGTGGTGAAGGAAGTAGTAAAGGCGAGCAGTCTGCAGTGTGGAAACTGTTTATGACGATTAGATTTAGGAATCTACAATCCTAAAATGCTATGGAAATGGAGGGAAACAGGTCCGCGACGTAGGAAGTGGTGAAGGAAGTAGTAAAGGCGAGCAGTCTGGAGTGTGAAAACTGTTTATGAGGATTAGATTAAGGAATCTGCAATCCTAAAATGCTATGGGAAGGGAGGGAAACAGGTTCACGACGTAGGAAGTGGTGAAGGAAGTAGTAAAGGTGAGCAGTCCGGAGTGTGGGAACTGTTAATAACGATTAGATCAAGTTATCTACAATCCTAAAATGCTATGGGAAGGGAGGGAATCAGGTCTGCGACATAGGAAGTGGTGAAGGAAGTAGTAAAGGTGAGCAGTCTGGAGTGTGGAAACTGTTTATGACGATTAGATTAAGGTATATACAATCTTAAATGCTATGGGAATGGAGGGAAACAGGTCTGCGACGTAGGAAGAGGTGAAGGAAGTAGTAAAGGCAAGCAGCCCGGAGTGTTGGAACTGTTAATGACGATTAGATTAGGGTATCTGCAATCCTAAAATGCCGTTGGAAGGTAGAGAAACAGGTCTGCGACGTAGGAAGTGGTGAAGGAAGTAGTAAAGGTGAGCAGTCTGGAGTCTGGGAACTGTTTGTGGGAGTTACATTAAGGTATCTAAAATCCTAAAATGCTACGAGAAGTTAGGAAAACAGGTCCATGACGTAGGAAATGGCGTAGGAAGTAGTAATGCTAGCAGTGCAGAGTGTGGGAACTGTCTGTGGCATTTATGTATCTGCAATTCTAAAATGGTATAGGGAAGGAGGGCAAACAGGTTCACGACGTAGGGAGTGGTGAAGTAAGTAGTGAAGGTGAGCAGTGTGGAGATTGGTAGTGGATTAATGTATCTGCAATACTTTTCAGAGTAAACCAATAATTTTCCCCGAGCAAAGCTCGGTCCCCAGGTACTACTGGTAATTTGTCACTCTTAAATCGGTGTTAAAAACCACATAGGCTATCAAATCATCAAGACTGATATGTGATAAATGTATATATTTATAAATCTCAGTTAAGGACTAAACCCAATTTAATTCAACTCATTTCATATATTTAAATAATTTTCAATGTTAAATACAGTAGCCTCGTAGTATTTGGGAATATTAATTAATATTTTTCTCAATTCATCCACTACACATCTCTTTTTTATACGAAATACAGATAAATAAAACAATTAATCAGTAATTCACTAAACATTAATACGGGCATTTATGTTTATTTTCCCTTTAAACTGTCGATTTTTGCGATGATTAAAAAAACCAAGGTTATAAAACTTAATACAACGCTTGATAAAATGAACCGTTCAATGTATTAATTCATTAAAATATAAGTGACTCTGAGCAGACCAGTTGTGGCTTCGCTCACGAAAATTGAAATAAAAAAGTTAAATGTTTAATCTTATAGGCCTACAAATAATTAGAAAAAAAACATATTGAATCCATTAATATATAATCACATAATTTAGTTAAGCATATGTGAATAACGAAGTTAAACTAAGGGATTTCGTCATTACAACATTAACTGCCCTTCCACCAAGCGCTTCGGACAACTAAATCTGAAACCACATACATAATATGTTTTTGGCAAGAATACTATCCCCGCTGTATCTTTTTTTCAGTTAGGTCTACACATACACCTAATTTTCCAATAGTACAGTCAGTTCTCCCATCAATTTATTTCAAAAATAAGGCTTATATGTATCTTAAAATAACTAAGTAATATAAAACCTTGCACGATGCTTTATTGTGGTTCTCGACACTCTTAAAGGCCCTAAACAGTTGAAGGTCTACATTATCTAAAAATGTTTCACCAAGCGTGTTTTTATAAGTAAATGTGTACACATAAAACTGGCTTTTATCAAATCTACATTATTAAACTTGATATCATAAATAATAAATACATTTCTCTAAAACAAACACTAAAAAAGTTTGTAATTTACTTCAACCTCTACACTAATGCTTTACTTACGGTAATACTTAATCCGCCAAATACTTGAAATTCGATTACAACATACTCATCATTCTGTAATTGCATGATTCTGGCATTTTCATTATCCTGTATGTAGAAATGAACGGGATTGTACTTACCAAAAACGTATGATCTTCTCTCTTGAACACCATAATTATTAAGTGATAGAAGAGAGCAGGTGCAATCCTTCAAATAATAGATTAACTCGATAGCAAATAATTGTTCTATTGACATTGATATTCTGAACACTGTTATAGAGAGAACACAGATCTTAAAAACCACAAAATATTGAGTACACATTTTGTTTTCAAATACATTTAACCATTTTAAAAGTGTTATTCAATAAAACACAAATATTCAAGCCACAAAATAATGTAAATATTTTTATTTCAACTGATTTATTAAAACCAGCTGTTCTCTTAAATAAGTGCAGATTATAGCTATTCTTCCCCTGGTTGTTTAACCATAATACACCTAGATGTGTATGTCATCAAGTGTACAAAACATTTTAATGAGTTAAACCGTGGATTTTAAATATTGTACATTAAGTAACTAACATCATCTATTTGATTTGTTACTTTAATAATGCCATCATCTTGCAATTTTCTTTCAACGATTTTATCATTGTTTTTGTTTTGCAAATCGTTAAAGTAATCGTGTAAAGATTAGTTAACCAAATTATTATGTTTGTTGAGCAATCAAATGTTCGGACAAAATAAAAATAAAATAACTTTACAATCACCCAAAAACAAAATACCCACGTTATTGTTCACTGGGTTTAGATAACCGCACGAATTATAAGAGGATGAACAAATTAAAAGCTAAAAATGTGGCTATAGTATAAGAGAAAAAGAATACTCTTGTAGTTTGCTTGTTTAATATAGATTGTTCAAATTTTGCAATTTTATTTACTTCATCCTCTACCAACATTTATTAAAAAAAAATGTAGACTTCCTCGTAGCAGCGAACCTAAGTACTCTTTAAATCCAATTAGGTATTAAATCTGACAAGTTTGAGGAAACATTTGAGTAAAACCTTAATACAAGAAATTCGCTTAGTCTGCAGGTTTGCTACGGCGGGGGCGTAACCTATCCTCACTGGGTGTTACGTATTTAACTCCGGTATAAATATAGTGACGGCGTACTTGTGTACTTGTGATCGTGGTGATCCTACGTTATCAGTTCCTCGTCGTGGTGATTAAGTCTTCTACGTCGCTACTACGAGGATGATCACCCCCCACCACGCGCTGATAAGGGAGTGACGTCTCTGTTATCAATCAAGAAGGCAACCGTCGTTGACAGCTCCTCCCCTTCCGCAAGTCGCTGGCTACCGCAAAGATAAGGGAAAAATGATTAAACGTGTTAAGTCTTCGAATATCAATCGTGATTGGATCATTTCTCACATCGGCTGGAAGATGTACCAATATGTTCCTATGTGTAAGAACCTTGATACAGATTTTTTTCTAGGGCGCTAGACCCTAGCATGGGAACGTTTTTCACATTACTTCAGGATTTGCGGCATTATCACTTAGATAAAATCCATTGTTGAGACTTAAACCCGGGACCTCAGGGACCGGAGTCCCGCGCAGACAGCTCACACCCCTTGATACGGATGGAAGCAACGGATCAGAATTGATACAACCATAGATAAAACATAAGTTACTTCCTTAGTATTTTTCCCATCCTTATAGAACTGCTGGAGCCAAATGAATCGTTCGTTCTGTCCGGTTGATGTCGTGTTTTGTTTACAAACAACATTATCAATTGATGGTACAGTGTCTGGGTGGAGAATCGACTACGATTGGGAATGAACCAGCAATCTGCGGATTTGATCGCGTGCGCACATAACCACTCGGCCACCCAGACAATTTACACTTTAATATGCACTAAGGTACAGGGGAGCGAGCTGGCATAGTGGTTAGAGCGCGGGACTTCAGTCCCTGAGGTCCCGGGTTCGATCCCCGCCAAGT